GTGTCCTGGGGGGGGGGGGTCTCCGTTCGGCGAAGAATCCGTACCTCGAGCCGCACGTTTGGGCGCCACCTGCCCCGGCCCTCGAGGCTCCGGTAATTCGTGGGTCCGAGGTGGATCATGCCTGCAAATAATGGGCGAGAAAGAAGGAGTGGGACCAAGCAGGTTCCATTGTCAAGGCCAACTTTATTGAAACCAAGGAGGGTTTTTATAGAGAAAGGAGGAAGCAGAGAAAAAGGAGGTGGGGGGAGGGATGAGTTAATTGTTCTCAGGCAGGTATCCGGAATCTCCTGTGTTCATCTCAAGCACTAACTAAGGAAATGGGGGGGAGGGATCGGTGTTAGTTGCTTCTCAGGCAGGTATCCAGAATCTCCTGTGATAAGGGAGTGGGGGACTAGACTGGTTAGCAGCTAGCTAAGCATGGGGGTTTCTGACAGTAACCCAATCACAAATAGACAAACATGGTATGTACTCACTCATGTGTGGATTTTAGACCTAGAGCAAAGGATTACCAGCCTACAATCCACACTGCCAAAGAAGCTAGGAAACAAGGAGGACCCTGGAGTAGGGGAAAGGGTCAAGATCCCCTGAGAAAATTGAGAGCACGGGAAGAAGGGGGAGGGAGCTATGAGAATGAGAAGCAAAGAAGAGGAGGGGTGCAGAGGACATGAGGGAGCAGAAAGGTTGAGTCAGGGGAAGAATAGAAGATAACAAGAATGGAGATACCATAATAGAGGGAAACATTTTAGGTTTACAGAGAAATCAGGCACTAGGGAAATGTCTGGAGATCTACAAGGATGACACCAGCTAACAATCTAAGCAACAGAAGAGAGGCTACCTTAAATGCCCTCCCCTGATAATGAGATTGATGACTGACTTATATGCCATTCTATAGCCCTCATCCAGCAGCTGGTGGAAGTAGAAGCAGACACCCACAACTAATCACTGAACTGAACTGGAATCCAGATGCAGAGAAGGATGAGTGAAGAGCAAAGGGGTCCAGACCAGGCTGGTGAAATCCACAGAAACAGCTGACCTGAACATCAGGGAGCTCTTGCTCCCCAGACTGATAGCTGGGATACCAGCATGGGTCTGATCCAAACTCCAAGAACATGGGTTTCAGCGAGGAAACCTCAGAAATCTACAGGACCTCTTGTAGTAGTTCAGTACTTATCCCTAGCATAGGTGTGGATTTTGGGAGCCCATTCCAGATAGAGGAATACTCCCTGAGCCAAGGCACACGGGGGTGGGCCTAGGCCTCATCCCAAAGGTAATGATAGATTTTGATGATCCCCCCCATGGAAGGCCTCACCATCCAGGGGGAGCAGAAAGGATATGTGATAGGGAGGGTTTTAGTTGGGGCGGGGGAATGGTAGGGGGGCAGGAGGGAGAAGGGAACTGGGGTTGTCATGTAAAACAATCTTGTTTCTAATTCAAATAAAAACATCTGAAAAAAAAAAGGCCAAATATTAAAAAAAGGGGAGGGTACCTTTGATTCTCCATCAGGGTGTAGTGGCACACACCTTTAATCCCAGCACTCAGGAGGCAGAGGCAAGTGGTCTTTGTGAATTCTAGACCACCTAGGTTTACAGACAAAAACCATCTGCCCACCCCCACATATTATTTATTACCCGCCTCAAAGAAGAAGAAGAAAAAAAACAACTTCCTGTTTCTGGTTTTCGACCCTAAGGTCCCCTGCCTTCTCTCACAGTTGTCGCCAGTGTTCCTAGCAAGCTTTGCAAAGTAGCATGTGCCACTTCAGAAGACAAGAATGGTGTCGGGTCTTGGAAATGCTACTTCTCCTGCCTCTGATATCGGGATTTTCAGGTAGTTTCCACCCAGTGTCTGATTGTGGTTGTGCACTGGCGGCATGGCTCGCCGGGAAAGGGGAGAAGTAGTTCCACCCTAGAAATGGGTGAGCTCTTGGGCAGGGTTCTTCGCTGCTAGTAGTGGGGCTGTGGGAAGGCTGGGGGGCATTCTTTAACTCTGGAAAGCCAGGCCCCGTTTCTTTTCACGAGGGGACATGAGAAACAGGACCCGGGGGGATGTGGAAGTAGGTCCCCGGTACTGCAACTCATGGCTGTTGGTCTGTGAAATTACAGGAACATACTTTTAGGTAAGAGAAGCTCTCTGCTGAGGGGTGCCCCATTGTTTGGTTGCCATGTTTTCTGATCAGAAGCAATGTGTCTCAGGAACTTTATTTATGTAAGGGGTCCGTCCTGCCCTGAGCTAAAAAAAAAAAAAAAGTAAATTACTTAAAAAAAAAAGAAAGAAAGAAAAGGGAAATTACTGTGTGTCAGAGACAGACACAAATGTCAGCCCTGTGGGTGAAAAGGAGTAAAGTGAACAAGAAGTTATGGAGGGAGCGTAGTCAGCCGGAGAAGAGCCAGCCCTGTGTGGAGGAGAGTTGACCGATATTCACACCATGCTTCTCTGCCTGGCGTTCTTACACAGACTGGCTTCAAGTCTATGGATGCATTGTCTGCAGGGCCCTTTGTAACTATACTCACCACCTTGGGTTGCTTTAGCTCATAGCACAGAATTATGGCTGCTAACATTGGAACTGATAGGATGAGTTAGTCAACTCTTGAGACCAAGCTGGCTGAACTTGGTTGTTTGTCTACAAAGGAGCATCCTTCTTAACTCTGGGCCTTTCTGTCTGAATTCCATGTAACCTCAACTCATTCTGCTTCACCACAGGTTTCCATTTGCATGCATCTTCTTCATTGAAATTCTGGGGTTCGGATTGTAGCTTATGACTTGTTTGTTTCTGTCTTCTTTAGTCAGCATTCTGCTTCTTAGACACAGAGGCCGGAGCACAGCATATACTCAGTAAATAACCGTTAAACAAATGAATGAGTAACTTCAAAAACTTCCTTATGGTCTACACATCCATAACTTTGTGAGCATTTGAGTCCCTTCTCTTTCACAATGTTTGCCTTCAGAGTAAAGTTTGAGGTGCACTCTTTACCCCTCTCCCCTCAGCTGTCCATTTCAAGGAGATGATTCACAAGAATCCTCTGCTCCTGAGAGGCATTTTGTTCTCTCCCTACAGGTAGAAGGGTGCACTGGAAATGGCATTATCCTGGGAACCTGAAGAGATGTTTTCTGTCTGGGCTCCATCTTTAGAGCTTTTAAAATATCTCCTCCACTCTAAAATGGGCATGATATTATACTTTTTATGTCTCTGAGGAACTTATAGTCAGACTCAATGAAGTTTTAAAATGTGAAGACACCCTGAGGACACACATGCATCAAATGGGAGTGGGGGATCCCCATAAATGAACTCTCAGACCCCAAACTCTTGCCTGTACCTCAGATCCGAATTTCTGTTCTTCTTTTCTTCAAGCGTCTACTCTAGACTTTCCAAACATGTGTTCAAAATTTGACTCACCATTTTTTGTTCTGACTTTTTGTTTTTTTTCTTTTAACGAGCCTTTCACAGAGTCAGTGCCCAAAATAATTGCTACAACTAATTTCACTCATGAGCTGGAGGTGGGTTTTGCTAGGTTACTTTTCATTTAAGGAATCCCTCCTCCTTGCAGCAGGACCATGGTGGAACCTACAGTCATTTGAGAGTCACTTTCATCCACACGGTCAGTGTCTAACTAACTGTAGTGCCTCCTACGGTCAGTTAAGACAACCCAGCCAATAGTGTCTATTATTTCTCACCTAGCTTTGCAAGCCACATCTCAGAGTTCTGTTCACTAAGGCAGGCATGAAGGCCTATCCAGCTTCAAGAGGAAGGGATATCGTCATTATTCTTTTGAGACAGGTTCTCTTATAACCCAGGCTGGCCTCGTGCTTGCTGTGTAGCTGAGAACAAGCTTGAACTCCCCATCTTACTACCTCTACTTCCTAACTGCTGGAATTACAGATTTAGACCACCATAACTGGCTTCAAGGGGAAGGGACCAAAAGTGTATCTACTGATGGGAGGGGTATTAAAAATGAAAATTTGGGGAATAGGGCTCTGATGTGTCAAATACCCTGTCACTGGGCTACATCCTCGGCTCCAACTTAAAATAAAATTCCCATAGCCATGCATGGTGGTGCATGCTGTTAATCTCAGCACTCTGGTGGATCTCTATGAGTTCCAGGCCTGCTTGGTCCATATAACAAGTTCCAGGATGTCCAGGGTTACATAAGAAAGGTCTTGTCTTAAACAAATAAATTTTTTAAAAAGTAAAAACAAAAGCTCTTCCGTAGTTTCTCTCTGCCCCAACTTTTCTGCTCTTTCATTGTTATCTGCCTCAATTAATAGCATGTCCATTTGCTCAGTTTCTTAAGCTAGAACTCTAGTCGTTATCCTCAGGTCTTATCTTTCCCTTGCCTCTCCCAACCAGACATTTGTTAGTCCACCTACTTCCATTCTCTTTCATCTTGGACCAAAAGCCCACTTTCTGGTGTTGCACTCGCCAATCCTAACTGCTTTTTTTGGTCTGTTCTCTATACCTAGT